TAGATAATAGTAGTGGTGATAAAGACCGCAAGTACCAGTCCTCAAATTGGGCGTAAGTTACCGAAAAACTCAGGTGATATATGTGTGGGACATAGACCGCTCTAGTAGATTTACCACAAGAATAAAGTAGTTCTAAGAGGCCTTAACGGCAGGAATTCTTCTGAAAAAAGCATCTAACAGTACTAAGTCGATCAGAGGGTTTAAATAGGGGATCCACAAGCGGATCCTAGGTATGGCAATTGGTAGATAACTATAGATAGTATAGTGGAGCCCTTAATTAGATAATGACTAAAGTTGTACATGTGACCAATTATACTCTTGTTGATATAACAAAGTCAAGGGGTATCTATTCGGCATCCTGATAATTAAACTGAGAAGTTAATAAACTATGCCAGACCCCCAAGTGGTCACCTTAATATTTAAAAAAAAATAAATAAATTGATCAAAATTCTTTGCTATATGTTATTATAAGATTAATATATCACAATTACAGATATTTGAATTTAAATATAAAAATTTTTTAATTATTAGTTTGTTACAAATAATTATTTATAATCTTTGATTAATATTTGATATATATAGTCTAATTAGTAAAAAGAAATAGTATGGTTTATTTTTTCTTTATAATATAATAGAATTAACTATTTATTAATTAGAATAAATTTATATATCATACATGCAATATCATCGCACCTATATAAATCACGTGATATATACTGTGTATAAAAATAATGTATAACAATACTGATATCTAATCTTTACTCTCTTTAGTTGTATACAATATGAAAATAGATCTTTTGTATAACTATACATCTGGTTCGCTTTTTTTTTTTAATTAATAAGTACAGTACATACGTATACATATACACTTATTGGCTTTGTTTTATTAAGCAGAAGAGAGTACCAAAGGTTAGCATTACATTCAACTTTGTGTTAGTATAAGTTTGTGAACTTAATAACCAATTTATTGCAGACTTTGAAGAGCCAATGCTAGAACCACTTTTAGTTTAGATTTGGGTAAGTATTTACTCAACTTTGTGTTAAATAAGCACAGTATATACATATGCACATATACTTATTGGCTTTGTTTATTAAGCAGAAGAGAGTACCGAAAATTAGCATTACATTCAACTTTGTTTTAGTATAAGTTTGTGAACTTAATAACCAATTTATTGCAAACTTTGAAGAGTGTGAAGACAATACTAGAACTACTTTTAGTTTGGGTTTGAGTAAGTATTTACTCAACTTTGTATTAGTATAAGCTTCATAGACTTACAAACAATTTATTATAAATATTGAAGGATATAAAAATAAGGTTGGGCCAGCTCTTAGTTGGCGTTTAGGTACATAAATATTATTTTTATTCTGTTACTAGCTATTAAATCTTGATCTAACAGAATAAATTGCTGGGTTAGTAGAAAGTAATAATTGTATGGATTCAAGTTTGAAAGTAAGTAAAGATATTCGTAAATTTTTAGGTTTAGAATTAGATAAGTTTTCAGTTCACTTTGTTGTTATTAATAAACTTCGTTATCTAATATGATATATAACTTACAGAGATAGTAAAAGATAATAGTTGTATGGGTTCGAAAGTAAGTGAAGTTAATACTAGATTTACTTTTGGTCTGGTATTAGGTTAGTATTATATTCATTCTGTTGTTAGTCATAAACTCAGTGATCTAATACTATATTTTTTTTTTTGTAGAATTGGAAGGTGGTATAGATTCAGAAGTAAGTGAGGATAATTCTGGGCTTGTCTTGGGGCTTAAATTAGGTTAGTATTTATTTAACTCGATATTAGTTATAAACTTGATGGTCTAATGATAAATTATATGTAGGGTTGGCAAAAGATAAAAGTGGTTTAGGTTTGGAAGTAAAAAAAAATAGTAAAGATTTAGTAAAAAGTAATGGTAGTGTAAATTCAGATTTATTGCGAAAAAAAAACTCTTTCCGTAAATCCCTTACACAAACTTAAATAAAAATTCGTGCATCATAAAATCGCCCATATCTCA